AATTAATGTATCAGCACTAATTTATCTGTTGATTTATCAATAGCTCAAAAAAGTTGTTTGTAAATTCAATCATCGTCAAAGCCAACATCCGCCACCAGATGGCGAGTAGCGTTTATGTGTAAACCTGCAAGTGGAAAAATCAAAACAATCGTATAAGTCTGAGCACGGATTAAAAAAAAATTGGTTGTTAAGCTCAATAGATTTTTTGGAATTAAGTTCAAAAAACTTCGCCTTAAATCTAATCCAAATCACATTAACATACCAAAGTAAATATTTCCACCCGAGTACATTATAAAATATCGGATATGCGCACGAATACGGCCATGCACCGAATAGTCTGCCCCGGATAAGCTTTCGAACACGAAGTATCAGCATAAACGTTGTAAATGACTATACTGCTGCTGCTACTGCTGCTGCTGCGTATCTCTGCTCACGCGAGAGCTTATATACCCTCTCGGCTTCGTATACGTAATCATCGAAGGATATTCCGCCGACGTACGTACGTGAGCTTGCGCCCGATGCAACGTGTTTGATGCACGGACAATGCATGTGCAGTATAGCTAGCAACAAAATACAGATACATAGACACGTACACGCATATACGTGAGTATGTGCGCGCGCTGGCCTTAAGTGTTTGGGTACTTCAATTGTTGGCGCAGGGCTAGGAGAAGCCTCGAGGCTAATACAGAAACAGCAGCAGCACAACACATACAAACACACACACACACACACATACACGCTTCATAGGAGTCAACCACGGGCTTCTCTATATATATGGTAGAACAGCAAAAGCTCTCTATACTTGTTCGGCATCAGAGACGGCGGTTGGCGGCGGTATCTCTTTCAGAACTTAAGCGGCGGCGGCGGCGTCGGCTTGTGCTCTCTGACTCTTTGAACTCTGCAGGCGCCACAAGAGCCAATATGACTTTTGGAAAGTAGGCATTTCAGATATAAAGCCGCGATAGATGTAGCTGCTGTTGGTGTCGACGACGAGAGAGTGAAAAAGAGGCAAGAAAGCTCTCGCGCACACACACACAAACACGCACACATAGAGCTGTTCGAGTTAAACTTGAGGGATAGGGAGAGAGTAAAAAAAAAGTAATTGAGCTCTCTCTGCTGCCCTTATAGGCTCGGGTAGAAAACTCGAGATTAGTGATTTCGCCGGGAGCTGTGTGTCGTCGTCGCAGTAGCAGCAGCTAGCTAGGCTAGCTAGCTAGCTTTTATGACAATATAACGAACGACTGCCGAGAGTAGCTGCTGCTACGGTATTTTATACAGCAGTAAGTATATATAGCTGCTGCACGTTACAGCTCATTGAAGCGAGCACATCCGTTTAAACGGCGCATGCAGGATTTATGAAGCCGAGGGAGAGGGAGTATAAGTCGTCGTCGTAGCTAGAGGTTTATATAGAATATAGATATATATGGCATAAAAGCTCGACTGATGAGATTGGCTCGTCGCTCGCGCGCGCGCGCATATGCGAGGTATAATTCACTCGTATAGCAGACGAAGAAAAGAATTGGCTCCCGACGCTGCGCTCGGCTGTGTATCGCGAATACAGAACTTATATAATATATATTGACGCTGACACGAGCTGCTGCTTCTGTCTGGAGTTGTATCAAGTAATCGCTGTTGTTGTTAATGCTCGTGACATCGTACTTCTCTCTACCCCTCCGTCACTCTCTTTATGTCAAACTGCGCGCAGAGGCGCAGAGACAGAGATGAACTCAGCTCTACTCTACTCTGCCACCTTCTCCTCTCTCTATACATATAATACCTAACGTTAGAGCTACTTCTGTTGCTCCAGCGAGCGAGAGATGCAGCAGTCTAGCTCGAGCAAGCCAAGCCAAGAGTAGTAGTAGGTAGAGTTGTGTTCGGGCTCTGTACACGGCGCAGCTCGTTTATACACGCGAGGTGACAACGTCCAGCAGTAGCAGCAGCACGCCGCACACAATGGAGTTATCGGTTAACGCGCCGCCGTCGTGTTTGTGGCCCCCCTCGAGATGTGTGCTGCGCCTCGCCACCACCACCACCACCACTACTAGTGCTACTAGTACTATAAGCTCCAGCTCTAGCAACTATTGTTACATAGCAGCAGTACGAAGCAGCAACAGCACCGAGATGTATATAGATATGTGTGAAAACGTGTGCTATACGCTATTTGCATGTATGCATGCATGTTGCACCCTCCCTACCCCGAACGTTTGTCCGTGTGAGTAGTTTCGGGAGCTAACTTTTAGCCAGAAGAGAGACGTCCAACACGCGGAAGCTCGTGCTGTATATAAGTAGGCCGCATTATCGAGGCTTACGCAATGTGCCACCACCACCACATATGTATATAGATTTCTACGCTGCGGAACGAGCGTAGTCTATAGCGTGCGCGGCGCGTGCTATAAGCGCCGAGAGATCGACTATGCACGGAGTCCAAAGTTATGACATCGTACATACCCGCAGCACTGCAGCAGCTCGAAGAATCGTATTATATACAGGGCAGGCGCCGGCGCGAAAGCGGGTAAAGGGATAGATCCCCCGCGTAAAGCATGGCTCGACTTTATATACGTACTATATGCTTTCTTTTAAGAAAATTTCCTATACAAGAAGCTGCGAGCTTCTTTCGCGAGAGAGGAGGAGAAGTGGTGTTGCGTTTGAGGCCGCCGTCGTCGTCGTCCTCGTCTTCTTCATTTTTTCTCTCTCTCTCTCTTTCTCTTTACGATTATGGTAGCGCGGTAAAAAAAAAGCTTGTTTCGAAGCTTCTTACGCGCGGCTCTCTCTGTGTAAGCTAAACGCGTAAAGTGCGCCGGGATACGTGTTTGCAGCTATATACATCCCGCACTAGACTAGATGTGTTCTTGTTCGCCGGGGCTTCGGCTCGTTGCGCGTAACACACATCATTGATGTTATCGTCTAGATAAAAGCTCGCCCATTCGCGCCCGAACACGACGATGGTAGCGGTTCAAGTACCTATACTCTCTTACGCATAATTAATATTTATCGCCCCTCGCTATGTATATTTTATTACGTACGTACATAAGTTGCAAAAGAAAAAATAAGAATGTGTGCCAGCAGCAGCTGTTTACGAGTGTACAAGTGTGTAAGCGCCTGCGGGGCTTGCACACTACCCCCTCGCTTCATTTTTTTATACCATATAATGCGAGGAATGTGCGTGAGTGCGCGATCCGACAGAAAATTAATTATTGATCTGTCTCTCCTCGCGCGCGCGTAATAACCGAGACTCGCGTTCGTACGCAGCTTTGTTGTTTGATTCGCAAAAATCGCGCGCGCACGTGTGCAAATTCAATAGGTTCCAGCGCAGCCAGCAGAACAAATTACTCTTATTGCACGGCACAATGGAATACGCGGGGATGATGAAAGTAATTGATTTTCCGCGTGCAATGCACAATACACGCATATTATTAAAAGCGATCACGTACGTGTATACGCAAGCTCGTGCGTTCATAACTCCGTGCGCGCATTATGAAGCTTTCTCGATTCCGCGATGACGCTACCAAAAGTACGATGCTGCATGATACGTACGAAAGAAAACATTTTTCGACGGTATAACCGTGAGGACTTGTTAAATTAGATGAATTCTCATTTTCGCTCGTTGCTGCTGCTGCTGCTGAAGCAGTGTGTGTACGTCTCGAGCGTATACGACACGTACACTTACACACACAGAGATGCCTCGGCTACTATCCGGAGCACAAAGTAATTAAAATAACAGGATTATGCACGGCGAATTAAATTTCCCAGAAAATTTCTTTGCTTTATTTCTCATTCACGTTTTGTGTGTGTGTTGCTGCTGTGAGCTGTATGACTCGTTCCCCCTTCGAGCCACATGAGACCGCGCGCGCGCGCGATGGTGCTGGCGGTGGAGAGCAGTGCAACTTGCTCTCTCTCTGCTCATCCTTTTCTTTTGAGAGCAGCAGAAAAAAGCAGCAGCAGCAGCGAGGGGCAAAATGAAGGTCCCACGAGAAATTGGCTTGACGGCTGCGGGGGTGTATATATATTCGCGCGCGCGCGATTTTCGGATGACATATCTATATACGGGTCGAGAGAGACTGAGTGAGAGTTGTGAGGAAAAAAAACTGCCATGCTACCCCTAGCGAGCGCAACGCGATGCACTTTGTTAATTGAATGTATAAATGTGTGTGTCAGTTGCGCGATGAGCGACTCGCCATTTTTCTGTAAATTTCAATTGTTGTAAAATGTTCGACTTTGATAAGTGCTATAAATCATATAAGAGTATATAACTTTGGAGAGTTGGTGAAAAAAATCCTTTTTTTCCCCGAGCTTTCGAAATCTATAGCCTTTTACGGCTTAAAATTCTTTCTTTTCATGCGCCCGCGTGAAACAATGCGCGGCAAACGTTTCAGATATATATACACGGTTAAAAAGTTGACGGGAAATAATGATTATACGAAGCTCGCCTGCCCTGTTTTTTTCATACATATAAAAATGAACGTGTATACATTCGCGCGCGGATGCGACACTGCACAAAAATACAGACTATAATTCTCGTAAATATAATTCGCAGTGAATATTCGTATAATCGCGATGTGTGTACCTCGGGCCCGACAAAAAAAAAGTATCTGATTGATTCAGCCGAATAAAGGGGTATAAGTATGATTTATGGGACGCGAGCACGGAAAACAATGTAACTCGCTGCGCGCGCGAAAATAGATATACACACAACGAGGCTCTGTTGTGCGCGAAAACGAGCCGAGAGTTTTATGGGCTAAATGGGATATGCACCTCCTCTCTAGCTCGACTCTGGAAGTAAAGCACATTCGCGCTGTTATAGTCGCATGGTGCACAATCGACACGCGCGCGCGACCTTTCTCTAAATGAATGATCGCGCATACACCCGCAAAAATGGTGAGAATGTATAAATTTTACGCGTCCGGTACAGGTGAAAAAAAAGCGAGAGAGAGACACGAATTTCGCATCGCTCTGTATTATCAAAGTGAAAAAAAAAATAAAAAATCGTCGTTGGCACTCACCTGATTGATACGACAGTAGGGCTATCAGCGACCAAACGACGCTCAAGCACCTTCGACGACGACTCTCCTTCATGATCATGATGATGATATCGTTGACGATACTGTTTGTAATATGTTCGTGAGAGCCTTGCGGATGTATGCGATAGATCTATGACTGTGGTGATCGCAGCACGAGTCACAGACACGGATTGAATTTCACCACGCGCACTCCACACTTATATATATATATATATTTTCAACGGCGATCACTTATATATTAACACAACGACACTGACACCATCCGTGTGCGTACGTGGCATGTCTCACCAAAGTCAATGAGAAGAATAAAGACCGTTGGTCTGACGCAATCGCGACACTGTTCACTGGTAGTAGAAGTAGTTCGAGTCAGCGCCACAGTCAGCCCCGAGGAATATCGTACGCACTACGCTGCGGCCACGAAGTAGAACAACCGAAGATATTTGCAGCCCCATTGGTAAATAAAGACGCCGTGGTTGTAGTAGTAGTCCCACTTGCCGCGACTCAGCGTCTATCTGTCTGTCTGTCTGTCTGTGTCCGTTCGTGCGTATACGTGTATTTGTACCGAGGGTCGGGAGAAAGCTCAGCACATATCTATATCTATACACACGACTCCCCGGAAAAACCAAGGTATAAATAGGATAGAGAGAGGAGTCGAGCTCGAGAGACGAGGATCGGAACAACGAGAGCTTCGAGGCGATGGTCTTACGCCTCTTACATTTTAAGCGAATGTGCTGCGGGCCAATTGGCTCTTGCTCTTATTTTCTCTACAGTAGCTAGCTCGGTCGGTGGTGGCTGACTGGTATATATATAGTCGCGAAATAAAACGCGCGCTCAACTTCGTTTGCCGCTGTTCGCTGGTCCCGCTGGGCAAACTGCAGATCGCATTTGGCACTACTCTGAGCGCCCGCCGCCGCCGCCGCTACATCAATGCATAACTGATCCCTTCGCGATCTCTCTCTCTACTCGCCCTTCTATCTTCCTGCAGCGATTTTCGTCGTCTTTTTTTGCTATTTTTTTTTGTTTCGAGCAGTGACAAAGTATATATCTGTACGCACAGAGTTTTATCTTGACTGAGCAATCGGTTTGCACGTCATGGAGGAGGGCAGGGGAGGATGATGCTTCGGGGGAGGCGGAGGTGGTGGCGGTGGCGGACAGAGAGGTCAGAGGGCACACACACACACACACACACACACGCACAGACACAGAACTAGATGGTCGAGAGAGAAGAGAGCTTTTACTCGTAAAAGTCCGATAGGCACTGATGCAGCTTTGATTGGCCAGCTATCGGTTTAGCCGGTGGCAGCTTTGATGCGGTGAAAACCCGCTGATGCTTGAATATCTGTGTCATGCTGTTGATGCTACTGCTTCTGCATGTATATATGCTGCTTCTTTCTATCTCTCTATCTCTTTTTATCCTTTTCGCTTCAAGCCGACGCCGCTTGCCACAGCACACTCCAAAGAACTGCACCACCAATGGAAATGTGTTTTTTTTACTGCCCAGATGATTACCGGCTTATTTCCGCCCGATCTTTGATGATACCACCGCACAGCCAGCAGAAGAGGCCGGCGCAGCAGCTCTGCAACAGAGAGTGTAACATTTCTATCAGGTTTATACCGTATAAAGCGCAGTATTTGTATGTGCATTGAATTGTACTTTATGATTTAAACGTTAATTAGTTCGTTAATAAAGTTCACCTTCTGGCCTTTAAACGCTCCACGCCGTGTATATAATAAACTCGCGCGCGTGGCAGCTTGTACGGGTTCGCGCTCGAGTTCATTAAATAAATGCCTTTATCCCGCGGATCGTGAAGCGCAAGAAACGAGCCGAGCGCAAATGCATATTCATTCGTTCGCGTTCGGTTCGTTTGCTGACTTCAATAAACTCGAATTCAAGCGTTCGATGTGAAAGTCGCACTATGAACCGGCGCGTTGTGAGCAACCTAAAAATATTATTGTACAGAAGGAAGAAGAAGAAGAGGGCTATTTACCAGCGGTTATGCTGGAGAGAGAGATGCGCAAACAATATATTCAATAATATGCAAATGGAGAAATCCGCATTGCGATTACAACAGCAGCGGTGTATAGCGCAGAAATTTTCCCAAGCAAGAGGGCAAAAGCGAACGAACAGTGATAAAGGCGAGGAGAAAGCAGATGTATTCGAGAGAGAGAGAGAGAGGGAGAGAGAGAAGAAACCAGAGCAGAAAAATGTTTTCCCCTGTACTACTACTACTACTACTACTACTCGGGGCGGCCGATATTTATCTCGATAAAATTAGTTTTACACTCTAAGCATGGAGAGCCGAGCGAGCTGAGAGCACGTATACTACTACCACTATCAGGAGAAACTGCATATTGTATATCGATAGGACGATCGAAGTTTCAAGAGATCATTGACAAATCCATTAGAAAGGACGTACTGAATGCTTGATTCAAGAGAGAGAGAGAGAGTCGACGCTTGACAAGATAATTCTCTCAGTTTATCAGCTTGACTCCTTTTCCTCTAGCTCGAGCTCTTTCCTTCTCTCTCTTTTTTTTCTCTCGGCACAATTTAGTTCGAATGGGGCGCGGGCGAGGAACCTGCTTAGTTGAAATGATGCTTAATGGATAAATATCGTCAACATTAGTAGTGATCGAAGGTTCAGAAAATAGATATTTAAAGTGTTACAATTTAAATTACAATCAATTGTATTTTAAATGACCTATGAACGACAATTTTGTTGTTTCAAAACATGCGGCCAGTTCGAATACGGTAAGACCACTTCAAGCCTTCGCCACTAGATGGCGAGTACTTCAATTTTGAAAATCTGCAAGTGGTAAAGTCAAAATAGTTGTATAAGTGACCATTTGAACATTGCATAATTTATTTTGGAATAGATAATACTGTATGTTTAAATTTTCATTCAAACTCGTTGAAGCTTACTTCAACGAGTACTGTAATAACCGCTTTGAATCGTAGGCCACGCTCGTACCAAAAGAGAGAGAGAGAGAGAGAAAGCGAGCTCGAAAGAATGTGGAAGAAAATAAAAGTATACTCGAAAGGATAAGGCCGCGGGATTGAGAAAAAGAGCCGTGAGAGAGAGCCCCGGAGCCAATGAAATCAATACCCCTGCACAGTTGACCTCATCGACACCATCGCTTCTATAAACGCGCGCGGGTCTATGTAGGTGAAGGAATGAAGCACGCAGGCACACACACAGTTAATGTTACATATTAAAGATGGTGAAATTCACAGGCGCGAGAGAGAGAAATAGAGAGGCACGTGCAGCAGAATTTCTCAGTGCAGCCGTTGAAACGAAATCGTACTTATGTATAATTCTGCTGAGCGCAGAATGAACAAGTAGTTCTCGAGGCGCGCACGAACTTTTTTTTTCTTTTCCTTTTTATTATTATTTTTTTTTGTCGAATTCACGAAATTTTTAATGGAGCAAATGAAGCGAACTTTCGGCAAGGACGGATCGTGATTCATGACGTTCGCATCGTCTGTAGTCGACGTCGTGTATTCAAGTTAGCTCAACCATATTACGTATACAGCACTATGCGATCAACTGCCTGTTCATCATTGATTCCGTTTACGTTTCGTTTAATGTATATTTCAAGTCGGGCGAGGAAGGAACTTTGATGCCTTTTGCGCGCACAAAGTCACGATTAAGACGAGCCTCGATGGTATATTAGTCAATTATAATAGTTAAAAGCAGCCAGCAGGAGTAGCAGCAAGTAGTAGCCGTGTTGGCTTACACAAATCTCATTTTTTTCACGTGTACACCGGCGCGTGTAACGCTAAAACTAGAAAAATGAAAAAAGTTGTGCTTGCAAGTAGTAGTCGTAGTAGCAGTGGTAGTCGTGTTGAGCAAAAAAAAAAAAGAAAGGATAATCTAACGACGGCCAAGCAGAACATGCAAAACTAGGACAAAGTTCGCCACGCGCGCAGCGCAGCTCGCACAAATTTATGGTATATAATCAAATATTTTAATTGGAAGTTAAACGTAAGTGAAGTATAGTTATTTTTACTGCTCCGCGAAAATTGATCACAAGCGCAGTAGCAGCATACTTCGATTGAGTTTTTAACTCTCTCTCTCTCTTCTTTTTTTCCTTCTTCTTCTTATTTTTTTTTTTTCGTTCGTTCTCCTTCTGTATTATACGGACCTTATATCCCCCTCCGCATGTGCAAATGTCGAAGGAAAAGTGGAACTAACTGACGCATTGATTCGGGTTATATAGCCACGTCGAGCTCAGAGCTCCACTACTGCTGCTGCTGCCGCGCACACCGTGCAATTAAGTCAGACCCATTCGGACTATCGGGAGCGAGTAAAACTAAGCGATTATTGCTGGAGCTCGAGACGAGCGAAAGAAAGTCTGCCGGAGCAGCAACGAGCTTACTGGTAATCATGAGAATATAAAGGTTCTATACTAGAAACGTGTTGTATATATATAGAGAGAGATTCGAGCGTGTGCTTTCCAGGAGCCGTATAGTGGGTGGTCGGTAGGTAGCAGTAGAGAGTTATATGTAATATATATCGCGTAGAGTATAAAGAAGAAGAAGAAGAAGTAAGAAGAAGAAGAAGAAGAAAAAAGATCTCTCTCTGTAGCTCAAGAAGTCGAGCCATGCGGGGGGTGCGATTCTCTCCGCAGCGTACGGCCGACGTATACAGCTGCGATTCAGCAGCTGATTCATTTCATAATTCAGCTATAAGTATAGTGTTTGGCGCTTGCGCTTAGGCGCATCATCAAAGCGCGGATCGCCTTTGGCTTCCACTGCTGCTGTGTGCATTAAAAGCGCGGCTTTTTAACTAAATATGTCGCACGACTTAGAAAGAGGGCACGCGTCGGTGTTTGCGGTTTTTTTCTCGATAGAGGACTAATTTTCAACAAATATGTCGTTTAGACTCAATTGAGATTGAATGACAGGTTAATATTTCTGATAGTTTATTGCCCTTTTGATCTTTTTTCGGATCTGTTTATTTTTGTTACAATAAATTATCGAAAAACATAAATAGAAAAATTCGTCGCATTGATATTCGCAGTTATTCTACGTTTAACCGCGAGCTCGACGCAATTAACCCGCCAATTTTGAGGTAATATTGCTCATATTTTTCTTCAATCGCAGTGCTGCTACCGAGAGCGAGAGAGACTGCTCGGTCGATTTCAAAAGTTATGAATAAAATAATGGTCGAAACGCGCTTGGGGAATTGGCGTATAGGCCGTTTTCGCGCGCCGCTGCTGCTAAACGCGTCGATGCATTGTGCACTGTGCAGCATTCAAGGCAGCAGCAGCAACTGCAGCGGCTCAATAAATGTAAACATATCGATTTACGGCTGAGAGGATACGCCTCACTCTCCCATATATATGAACCAACTTTCGCATTGCCCAGCCATCAAATGTATAACGAAGTATTGTGTTATTTTCGCGTTATTTTTATATTTTTATTCTATTTTATTCTCGCGCGCGCGATATCAAGTTTATTCAGACCAAAAAGTTTAGAGGATAGAGATGGTTCTATTCTCATATATGGTATTTACAGAAAAGTATTTCGTGAGTTTTACTCAAAATCAATGTTCACCATCTATTGGCGATTGATCAATCTAAATAACAATTCAATTTTTGCTATACAATTTGGTAATTTTCCATAGAAGGTTATAGATTACTGTGTTAAATATAACAGAAAACAAACCTCTTTGAAAAATTACTAAGTTGAACAGTAAAACTTGAGATATTATTGAGATTGATTAATCGCTAATAGATGGCGAACATGCATTTTTAGCAAAACTCGCAAAATACTTGTGGTCAATATCATATAAATATCTGTGGTGGAAAGGCATAACGACTTAAGTCCATTTTTCGTGTTTTCGAGAAAAACGCGTTTTAAGTTGATTGTGCCAGCCTAACTAGACGCGGACGAGTTGAGGTCTGAACCTATGATGTTTTAAGCTACTATGAGGTAGCTTTTCAACTATGTACTTATGAAATTGAAAGGCCCATCATAGCGATGATAGGGAGCAAAAAATATGGACTTAAGTCGTTTTGTTTTTCCACGGTTTGCACTTAAGTCCACTTTTGGCGGTCACACTTTTTTCAATATCGATAATTTCGCGCAGTTTGTTCGCACAACCTCATTTAATGATTTTACATTGATAAGATAGCTCATTTAACGTTATACTGCCGTCAGATCTCAAATCTTGCAACGAAAAAAGGCCAAACTGAAAATCGAGAAAATGGCCCCTCGCGTATCAAATGTAACAATCATATAGTATAATTCACAACATTCGAAGAGTGTGGAGCTATAATAATATCATTTTTTTTCATTTTCAAATAAAATTAGACTCTCTATAGCATTTTGAAACTCGCAAGGGTGGACTTAAGTCGTTTTGCCTTTCCCCAGTCTTCGCGAAATGGACTTGAGTCGTTATGCACGATGCTGCAACTAACGCTAGACGCTCTATTCGTCTATTCTGACCCTTGTACATTAAAATAGACACTAAATATAGACGTTTTTCATCATAAAATCGATTTTCAAAAAAATGGACTTAAGTCGTTATGCCTTTCCACCACAGATATATATGAGAACCAAATTTAAAGTACG